ATCAGCAAACCAATTCTATGCAAGACCGGCCTCGAAAGGTAGACCTCGGATGACCACTGCAGGATAGGTACATCCGGGTACTTCATTTGCGGAATCTGTCACAGCAACTGCAACTGTAAGTGCAATGCCTGGTTTGAGGAGAGTGTCGGCGCAAACCATTCGTAATCGTTTACGAAAAGTTGGCATTCAAGCCAGAAAACCCTATTTTGGCCCTGTGCTGCGACTACTACATCGACGTCGATTGGTCCACTGGTGCAATAACGGTCGAATCGAAACTGGCGACGTGTATGGTTCAGTGAAGAACCAGGCTTTTTGCTTCTGTGCCGAGACGGAAGAGTACGGTCTATCGACGTCGAAATGGACGTTTTGGCCCGACTGACCGATATGGTGGTCTCGATGTGGGGAGTCATAGCGTTACTCACAGAAATCTAACTTTGTGCGCCTTAAGGGCAATGTAACTGCTATTAGGTACAGAGACGAAATCTTAAGGATTCACATGGTTTCGATCATTGGCCACCAGACTGAGTTGTTCCAAGAAGGTAATTCAAGGACTGACACAGCACATGCCACTATTCAGTGTCTTCAGAACGTGAACATGACAGTGCTTTCATGACCTTCCAAGTTGTGGAATAGAATAGAATAGAATAGAATAGAATAGAATAGAATAGAATAATACTTTAACGCCTTTTCAGGAATTTGTGTTACATCAGCAGAGCTACTGAACATTAGAGAGATACCAAACATATTTACATAAATTCTTTGATTTAGACGTAGACGTTGGATCAACTGTCGCAGGCATTGCTAGAGGAATGGGCCAGAATTCCACAAGGTCGAATTAAAAGACTTATTTAGTCCATGCTGAGACGGTGCAGAACAGTTTGGGAGGCTCATGGTGGCCACAACAGATATTGAAGACAACGAACAACTGAGAACGGAGCAGAGTATATAATGCAGTGCATATCTTTATTGCTTTTCCAGTCAGTGCTATCTACACATATACTACTGGAATAACATAACTTTTACACAAATTCAGTATCATGTGTGTCTACCATTGGCGTTGATACAGGGTTGACAACGACGACGCACAGACGACATGCGATTGAAGAAAGCTTGGGGAATGTTGTTTTATGTCTGAACCAACGCTTGTATACCAATTCAGCCAACGTCAATAGCTTATTCTGGCCTTGGCGTAAACGTCGCGCAATTTCACCCCAAGCGTGCTCGATAAGGGACAAGTCAGGAGAAACATCTGGTCAGGGGAGTACCGGAATGTTCTGCTGTCTCAAGAAATCTGTCACACCACGAGCGACATGTGGACCGGAGTTATCTTGTTGAAACGTGAAGTTACGTCTCTATTCTTGACTGAACGGCTTCACAATGACCTCAGCCCTGTATCTCAGACCTGTCACATTGCCAATGACAATGACAAGTTGTGTCTGACCATGAGATGTGATGATTCCCCATACCACGCTGTTGTCGCCACCAAACTGTCGCCGTTGAACAACGAACGCGTCAGCTTACCGCTCATCTCGCCGTCTGTATACCCTTGCCCTGCCATCTGAGCTGTCCATGTGAAATCTCGACTCGTCAGTGAACAAAACACCATTCCAACCTTGTCTCCTGTACCGTCAGATGCTGTCTGCACCAAGTCAGTCATGCCTGTCGGTGACGTTGGAGCAAAATTAGAGGTATTTGCAGGTTGTTTGGGTCGAATGATGTCCTCCTATTCCCAACACTACTCCCCATGCCATAATGGTGTCGCCACCAAACTGTCGATGATGAACAACACACGTGTCAGCATACCGTTCTCCTCACCGTCTGTACACTCGCGCACTGCCATCTGAGCTGCCATCTGTCACCTGTACCGTAGATGCTGTCTGCACCAGGTCAGTCAAGCATGTTGGTGACGTTGGAGCAAAATTAGAGTTATTGCAGGAGCTGGATGTTGTGCTCCTTGTCATTTCTGTACAGTCCTTGAACTGATTGGACATAAGCCAGGAATGGTCAGAGCAGTCAAACTGGCAGTCTGGAATCGATTCTTTAGATGGGTCAGCTGAATGTGGTTGTCTTGCTGACGTGACGTCACGCGTCCTCTCGTGTTCCCATAATGTTAAAAACGTCTCCATAGAGATGAGATCATGTTTCGATGGACACCAAAATACCTGGCCACTTCATTTTGGGCCATTCCAAGCTCCAGCATACCCAAAGGCGCGTAGACGCTGATTTTCCGTAAGCCGTGCAGGACGTACGCACCGTTTAGGTTGAAATTGACGTGTTTTCCACAACATACAGGCTAGAGAAGAGTACCCCTTAACTGACAGCATTCCAGTAATGAGACGTCAATAGAATCTAAATTTTGGTACAATTTATATGCACGTCCTCATATGAGCGAAATATTCTCAAGCACGACGTTAAACCCAATTTCACCTCACCTCACAGATTCTAGTACTTTTGGGGTTGAGTCCCATCCAGGATCCGAACCCACACCCTCAGAGTCAGGCACGTGAGTCACGTGACTGTTTCAGAATTTTCACAGTGGTGTATAGTCTCATTGGTTACCAAAGATAGCACACCAGATAACTATTTACATGAGGTCCACTATTCTTTAAAAAATAATTTAGTTAGACAACAATGAGCAATCAATCAACCTACTGGCGGAAGGAAATATGTTTTTTTTATACAGGCACTTTACGACAGAATGTGTGTGTATTCAGTATATGTACATATATTTATTATTATTTTGTAGCGCTTTGAGCACCCACTTAGTGGTTGGATTTAGCGCTAACATTTCCATTATTATTATTATTATTATTATATAAACACTACCTTTTGACAAATCCGCTGTGCAAGATAAAAGTAATTAATCAATCAACACATTATCGGTTAATCCTTTGATCGATGTTTTTCTTCTTAACTCAGCAGATAATTCCACTTGCTACACTTCCATGCACATATTACATAACATGTAATACTTTTTGCCATATCTTAATTAATAATGTTTAGTATTTACTCCAGACACGAGAAATGCTAAAATGGGAACCTTTGTTGGGTAATCTGAGTAGTGTTACCACTAATTATACCGGTTATAAATTCATTAATTAATTCATGAAGTAAATGATGACAAATATCAAGTGAATGATGACAAATAAACAGGTGTAGGTTTATACCACCAAACATGGGTTACAGCAAGGGAGCATAGTAATCGCTGTATCACATATACAATGTTTATTCCCTAAAAACTGTGCCCAGGGTCAACTCTGTTCCGAGGATATGAACTTCATTGTTACATGAAAAATACATATAAGTGTAGCAGGGTAAGGGGTGGTTCTGTTCAATGTAGACCAACGCCTGCTGGGGTGTGAGTTGTGACTTGTGCCACTACTTTATTTCTCAAATATATATAGTTGGTTTTGTTTTCACCCTGTAACATAATAACAATAATCAATAAAACAGTCATATCACATATGTACTAATATAGTAGATTACACATAAAAGTTACAATTACTGATAATGGTCATATAAACCTATCACAATATATTCATTGTAATGCAAATTAATTGAACTGCATCCATTCCAAGAAAGTAATAAACATAAGTAATAAACACATGCAGTTCACAAAAGGTATTATATGGATTAACTGCAGCAGCAAACTATTACAATATCAAGGGAACACATAGGGAACACATATCTGTGGCAATGATATATACATGAAATATAAACACATTAAAAGGATAAAATACCTACCAAATATATGGTACTCAGGTGATATTACATTGTCCACCTTAGTGAAACAGCATGTCCATCTATAAGTAATATAACACACCATTAAGTATATTACGCTAACCTATTCTTATATCATAAAAAAACATATTACTCTATAAAACAAACCTACATAATAAATATATACATATACCTTACAGCACAACATTATCTGTACTGTGATATTCTTATAAATATACACAATAAACAGTTGTTAAAATAATATGGTATCTCAAGTGGCACAGACATTACATGTACCATCAAGTAGACAACATGGCCGACAAAGATGGCCACTAAGCAGGCACACATGCTTGTGTGTCACCTGACTTCATAAAAGATTACAATTATTACTAATAAACTTATAATGAAAATGCTGATGCAGTAAACATGAAAATTATGACTATAAACACACAATATTTGACTTACAATATATTCTTAAAACACATTCATACCTTCACATCACACATTTAATATTATAACCCACTGCGGCTGTATGTGGTGGACGGACTAAAATGTGCTGATGTTAGAGAAGAAGAAAACATACACCATAAAACTGACCAATCAGAGATCAAGGAATAGCTTGCCCTCTGAGTTAAGAACAATATAGAACACCCTGCTCTCCCACAATAATACAATAGGAGCCCAGGTCCAGCTTGGGGTAATCAAGCTGGAGACAAATACCAAACATACTCTAATAGAAACCTAATCCAATAAAACTACCACAACCAAACTGTTTAAAAATGATACCGTATTTACACAAATAAATAAATAAAATGTAAAATATGACACTGCCACATAAGCATTTGCTGTATACTAAAGTTTAAAACTGTACTGTATATATCTATTTAGTGTACTATTTATCTCAGTAAATTTTTAGATTGTTCTAACAATGTCACATGGTACTGGAGAAATAATCAAATATGTTTTAATATCCTAGGTAAAGACATGACGTTGTTACATGATTACATGTCTAGGTAAATACCACAGAAATATAATCAAATTGGAATAGTCTTTACACCATCTGCAATCTGAAATTCTGCCAAGGTGACCCCACTAGCCATAAATTGTGAATGGTCCGTTATAGATCTAGATCTAGTCCGCAACTATGATTTTGAAAGAAACATATTACTCATTATATCTCTGATTTATCCCCTTCTGCGCCCATGTGTGTCCGGCCCCTTTCAGGCAAGGGAGACCATCAAGCCGTTCTACCAAGCTCCCAACAGAGCTTGCTTTGGTTCAATAACAAATATAGCGAGGAAGACACAGAGCGGAGCTCTCGAAGTCTTAGATTCACCAGCTCCGCACCAACCACGTATAGTACTTGACAAATAATTCACCTCTGGGGACGTGAAAGGAGCACATTCAGACGGCCGATGGAATATGGCGATGTACCGTTCATTTTCGCACATAGTGTGCTCTCGACATATGAGAGAAATCAGCAGTATGTGTATTAATGTTCAGTCGTGTTCGTGATACCTTGTTGCATAAACATACGTTTTATCCTTGCAGTATTTCTTCACTAGACTCTACTGCTACAAGATGGTTTGTTTGGTAAATAACAAACATCAACAGCTGAATTGTGCCATTGGACCCATTTGCGCAGTTTATGTAGATCTAGTTTGCCGTCTCGTTATTAATGAATCTGGTAATATTAGCAGCTTGAACATTACGTGATAAGACTATTCACCTACTTTTCCTTCTATTTCCTTCTATTTTCTGTGTGACATACTTAACACACAAATTCATATTTTTAATTGTACATTATAATTAGGCCTTCCTTTAGCATTCAGTACCATAAACTTTCAAACAGGTCACCATACTCTCTAAGATGATTAGAAAGATTTTGTTCCAAAGATAGGTCAACTAACACCCAGAAGGAAAGTCCTCAGCCTAGCAACAAGGTTGCTTTCATTAGTGTTGAGAATCGGAAACCAAATCCACTATCGATTATCGGAGGTCTTCTTGTGAATGATTATCGATTATAATCAAAATATATAGATCTACATTTTTAATGTAAATGCCAATTTTAAGGGTTTTCCCCAGGTTTTTATTAAATTAATGTTAAGGTAAATATTCTGTTTATTTATACAACACATATTTATCAGTATATCTCATTACGTTCACAATAGATGTAAAATTTATTCACAGACAGGTTACAGTAATATTTACCGTAGTGATGAATATGAAACTATGAATACAATGCACATAGCATCAATTTCATATACTGAAGCGTAACCTAAATTCGTGGACAACCTTGATTCGTGGATCGCGGAAATTATCATGCTAGCTCGTATATTAAGTCTCGACTGAGGTCAGGAAGCGGTACTTTTGATGTACATACAATGCCACGCCTCGCTGACATAAAAGTTCCGAATCTCTGCACTACACGCAAGTACACTAAATATATTTGTCCAGCATTGAGATAAATAGCCCCATATCAGTATTATCACTAATACCACCATTACCAAATTTTATTTTTGCAAAATGTCAAGTAAAAAAGATACTGTTAGCTCTTTCATTCTCACTTCTCGTTGTATGCTTTCCTTGGTGTCAATACTTACTGCAGTGGGATGTCGTACATAGTGGTATAAAGTTACCGACTACGCAATCCACGAAACAAGGTGACGTCACATTTTGTGGGCACACGAATGGGTGATGATTGCAAATGGCTTCCGTAAACAAACGTTTCATTCACAAGTGGAATATTAGGCATTTTAAATTTGCTGAAGCAATGAATGAAATAATCAGTGCATGAAATCATGCATTTAAAATATGAATTTCTCAGCATTTCCCTTATATCCACAAATCAAGGTTACGCGAGTGTATATTTACTTAAGTTGTTCAATTATCAGGCAGTATTTTGTTCGCTCACAATATTTGCAAAGATGCCAAAGGAAACAAATCATTGCACAGTGCATTTATCTGCGTACTGTAAAAAGTTGAGAAACTTGCTATTTTCTAATGCATAGCAAAATTTCAGACAACACTTAGCAGTGTCTATTTTTCAAACCGTGACATATTTTGTACTTGAATTTTCACAATCGGTTAGGAAATTTAGTATTCTACATTTCTGTGTAATTTTACAACTCTTGGTAGATGCAGTGGTGCTTGACCACAACACATTGTTCACTTTTCAGGCTGTATGAAAATGCATGGATGGCTATTGGTGATAAGCATCTTTTCTTGTACTTGATCACTGCATGTTCCTCAAATTTGTCAATTTCCTAAAAGTTCAAAGATCTCTCATTTTATTTAGGATGGTCATGGCAAAATTATTTGCTCATTTGACTAACTTTTTGGTGATATACCTCATGAGCATCAAGTAATGCCCACAAGAGTTTTCGGTAGCCTAGTAGTTAATGCATTCATTTGTCACGCTGAAGACCCGTTCGATTCCCAAAATGAGTACAATGTGTGAAGCCTGGTGTCCCCTGCTGTGATATTGCTGGAATATTGCTAAAAGTGGCGTTAAAATAAACTCAATCACTTACTCACAAGAGATTTCACTGTTAACCTCAGAACTTATCAACCAACCCTTGCAAGAACAGACACATGCCATACACTTATAGTCTGTCAACCTAACTTTTGGCACCCTGTTTTTCACAATTTACCTTTAAACCAAAAATGCCTTCAAAATGTTTTTGTGCATAGGGCCTTTATATCTTATGACCTATCTAAGGTTTAAATTTCATCATTTTATGTCAATTAGTAAAGCTTCTTCTTAAGAAACCATCTTATAAAAATATGAAAAATAGAAGTAGTTATGCAAGGGAGTAAAATGATACGATGGAACAGCAAACAACATGGTGTGACACATGTACATTTTGTTTACATTGTTACGCCTGCCAGCAAATCTAAAGGGACTGTATAATCATTACAAATCCATTTTAAACAAGTAGATTTATTGAAGTCTTTAAAGACTGGTTGCTCACTCTCTTGTATCTATATCCAAATTTGAGCAACAGCTTGCGTATGGTATGCTTTGATACATTGATGTCATGGTCTTCTTTTTGAACAATATTTTCTTCAGTTTGCTTGACGATATGGACTCATTGGATCGATGTAAACGACGCATGACGTCCCTCGCAACCCATTTCATCGAATTCATCAAGCTTTCTTTTCTTTGCATGATTTGAGACAGCCCCCGATTTAACTGCCATGTCATTAATGTCATCATCAGGCTCTGAAATAGTACCGCCTCCATGGTGTAGTGGTTAGAGCGTCCGCCCGGAGAGCAGAAGATCGCGGGTAGTCATACCAAAAGACATTAAAATATGGTACTTGTTGGTCTCTGTCTGGCGCTCGGCATTAATGTGTACAACAAGGACTGGTCGGCTCGGAGTCCGTATAATGTGTCTGAGTGGGGTATTCATGCTTCACTGCGGCATGGTATCTCAGTGGGCTAGCACTATAAAACCAGCTTAAGTCTGGGCTAGTACAAGCAGCCGCACATACACATACACATGCATGCACGTCGTCATATGAGCGAAATATTCTCAGGTACGCCGTAAAACCTCACCTCACCTCTGAAATAGTGACATGGGAGATAACTCTTTGCAATGTTCTTTTGCAGATCTTGGTTGCATTAAATGTCTTTTGGTGAAACACTCAATTGAAAAAAAGAGGTTTATTTTTGCTTTGCCTCGTGCTTGAAAAAAACCTCTTTGATGATTTGCCGGTCATCTTTGAACAGCGTCGTTTTCACCACAGCCTATGTGTTAACGATCTTTGACATCACTTAAGCGTGCTAATGTAAATACCCGTGCATGTACATATCACACATTTTACAATGTTGTTTGCTTTTCCATCACGTGCGTTAACCCCTCGTAAAACTCGCCACAGTTTTACAATTATTATATGACAGGTTTAAAGGCAAAATCTTTAACAATCGTTTGAAAATTACTAAAATCGACATCTTGTTAGGTCACTGTATACAATTACCATATGAACAGAGTAGTGTTTTAAAATATTCAGGAGTTTTATGTAAATTGTGAAAAACGGTGCCAAAATTTAAGTTGACGGACTATAAGACTGTGTCCCACTGTATGAACTCGGGCTGGCTATGGATATAGATCATAGAAAATGATTAACTAACCGTAGATTGATTGGTGATAAATATCACAGAAGTAACTTTGAGCAAAAAAGTCTGAAACAAATGAATATATTTCACATCATCTCGTAAGTGGAGACATGTTTGTGCAGGGATTACTAACAAAACAGCATCCTGAATATAATTTAGTCCTAACTCTGTGTATTGTGTGAGTAAATTAAATCATTATTCTATCACAGAAGTTTATGTATGATATTATCGATAACACAATTTTCATATCAATAATCATCAATAATTTTTCCTATCGACAATATTTCCGATTATTAATCGTTTTAGCAAGCCCTAGTATGAACCTCATTAATCAAAGATGTTGATGAGAAAAGTGGAGACATATAGGCAAATTACAAAACACTTTGAGACAGTACACTTACTAACTTTCTTCGAAGTGAAGTTTTATGTGTAATCATAGGATGATGGTACACACAAGGAGAAATGAAACGCATAGGAAATATGGTAGGAGTCCTGCCAGCCCAGGTCAGTGTGTTTGTATTTAGGAACTTATGTATGATGACATTCATGATAAAAAAGGTTCAGGGCCCAGGCTTCATTAATTATATGGATGTGCCAAAATGTATGTGTGACTTTGTGGAAGTCACGTCTGTACACTCCATCTTTCAGGGTTGTGTGGTTCACACTTGCGGTGTCTCAGCAGCTTGGTAGATCTTCCAGAAACTCATGCACTGCTACGTAAGACCTGTCGAGACTTTGCAGAAAATGAACTGGCACCTATTGCAGGAAAAATTGACAAAGAACACACCTACCCAAAAAAACAGGTAAGTTTTAATATGTGTTTTTGTATTGGAAGCAATGTTTAAAAAAGAAATAATGGTACAGAAGCTTACATGTGTAGACGGAGCCACACTTACAGGAGTATGTACACTGACAGCTTACCTGTGTAGACGGAGCCACACCTACAGTAGTATGTACACTGACAGCTTACCTGTGTAGACGGAGCCACACCTACAGTAGTATGTACACTGACAGCTTACCTGTGTAGACGGAGCCACACTTACAGGAGTATGTACACTGACAGCTTACCTGTGTAGACGGAGCAACACTTACAGGAGTATGTACACTGACAGCTTACCTGTTAAGACGGACTGAGCACACAGCTTACCTGTGTAGACTGAGCCACACCTACAGTAGTATGTACACTGACAGCTTACCTGTGTAGACTGAGTATGTACCACACTTACAGTAGTAGATACACTGACAGCTGTGTACCTGTGTACACTGACAGCTTACCTGTTAAGACTGAGCCACACTTACAGGAGTATGTACACTGACAGCTTACCTGTGTAGACTGAGCCACACTTACAGTAGTATGTACACTGACAGCTTACCTGTGTAGACGGAGCCACACCTACAGTAGTATGTACACTGACAGCTTACCTGTGTAGATGGAGCGACAGAGCCACACTTACAGGAGTATGTACAATGACACAGTGACAGCTTACCTGTGTAGACGGAGCCATACATACATAGACGGAGCCCCACTTACAGGAGTATGTACACTGACAGCTTACCTGTGTAGCGCTTTTTATTAATGTAATTGCTCAAAAGTGCTATCTGAATCCACTTTATCCATGTGCAGAGGTGAATAGGTGCGTCTTGAGTCCATTTTTAGAATTTGACAGTTCTATTTCGGAACGAAGGATGGATGGTAAATTGTTCCAGAGGAAGGGTCCTGCTCTAGAGAGAAACCTGTCCCCATATGACTTAGTTCTAGTTTGTGGTATTTCAAGGAGGGACTGGTCTCTTGAGCGGAGTGATGTAGTTGGGTGATATGGTGTCAGGAGATCTGAGAGGTATTTTGGAGCTAGACCGTTTAAACACTTGAAGACAAGGAGCAGGATTTTGTAGTCGATTCTGAACGGAATTGGAAGCCAATGTAGAGTTTTGAGGGCAGGAGAGATGTGTTCAGTCCTTTTAATTTGACAGATCAATCGTGCGGCTGAATTTTGTGCCTTCTGTAGCCTGTAGAGGACTTGTTTTGGCACACCAGACAGCAAAGAGTTACAATAGTCCAAGCGGGATGTTACATATGCTTGAACTAGAGCTTGTGCAGATTTCACATCCAGGTATCGACGGATCATACCAATGTTGCGCAGATGGAAATAACATTGGCGACAGACATTGTGAACATGGGGCTCCATGCTGAGGGCAGAGTCAAAGATTACAACAAGATTGCGAACATGTGGGCGCATTGTTATTGCAGATTCACCAATGCAAAACTGAAAGCAGAAGCTTTTTCTGAAGTTGAAGAGGGTGGAACACAATGAGCTCAGTTTTATCATCATTTAATTTAAGATAGTTCGATGACATCCAACTCTTGATACAATCAACACATTCTTCTACTCTTGAAAAGGAGAACTTGGTTGAAGATGCGTCAGATGGCTTGAAGGATAAGTAGACTTGCGTGTCATCAGCATAGAGGTGCATACTTAAGTTGTAGGATCTTACAATATCACCGAGGGGAGATGTGTAGCATGTGAAAAGTAGGGGGCCTAGGACGGAGCACTGAGGCACTCCAAACTTCAAGTAGGTTGCCTCTGACCTTTCACCCTGGATGACAACTGCCTGCCCGGTCTGTTAAGTAGGAGACAAACCACCTTAATGGAAGATCTTTGACATTGAACCTGTTTTCAAGGGTAGAGAGTAGCACAGAATGGTCAACAGCGTCAAAAGCAGCTGAGAGATCCAGCAATACAAGAATGACCGCTCCATCAGTGTCTGTGCCTCTTAGGATGTCGTTCTGAACCTTCAGCAACGCAGTTTCTGTGCTGTGGAAGGATGGGTAGGCAGATTGGCACTCTTCATAGAAGCTGTTTCTGCTCATATGGTCTCTGAATTGAGAAGGAACAATGCACTCAATCAGCTTAGAAATGAATGTCAAATTGGATATTGGTCTGTAGTTTTTTAACAATTCATGATCGAGATTTTTCTTCTTTATGAGGAGTGATAATTGCTGTCTTCAGTTGATCAGGCATTACACCTTGGCTTAGCGAACTGTTGGTGATATATGTACAGAGACGGCTTACCTGTGCAGGTGGAGACGATGGGCGAGCTGGGTCTGATGTGTGTGTCGGTGCCGGAGACGGATGGCGGTACAGGTCTGGACTATCTGGCCTATGCTATTGCCATGGAGGAGATCAGTCGGGGCTGTGCTACTGCGGGGGTCATCATGAGTGTCAACAATGTGAGTGTCCTTATTTCCACTGAGATATATACAGCTTGAAGAGTGTTTAGGATTACTTCTGGCTGTATGATGGTGAAAACGTGAATTGTTTGAAGTGAAGTTAATTGATGTGGGCTACTGAGTAGTAGGCAGAAGGTTCTGATTCTGCTGATGAGGCTGCCTGACTGGGTCACTCTTACATAGCTGAATACATCTACATTTTGACAAATTGGGACCAATGAATTGAGTTCAGATATATGGGTCATTTGATATAAATGATTTTGAGATAATAAAGTTTCAAATGCAACAACTTACATTGTACTTATGTTATTTGGGTTGTTTGACTTGATTGTCAAATGCTGACATTAATATCCAGCCTCTACTTATGTTGATTCATGTACTAGCTACCCATGCTGTCCTGCAGGCTTCACACAAGTGTACCTGGCAAGCTTATCACAACCTACATTTACTATTCCTCTGCCTTAAGTCTTTATTTGTGTATCCAACTAATGGTTTTTGATTTCTTCAGTCACTTTATTTAGGTCCAATTGAGAAGTATGCCACCAAAGCCCAAAAGGACCAGTTCATGTCTCCATTCTTGTCAGGAAAGAAAGTTGGCTGCTTTGCGCTCAGTGAACCAGGTAGAGTATACTGAAAAAGTCTTTGTGTAGCTTCTTGATAGCATTGAATATCAACAGATCCTTACACATGGAATAGTCAATAATTATGTGTGAGGTAAGGGAGAGGCTGCAACGTGCTGGTTCATACTTACTGGCAATATGATGAGGGGTGAAACAGTATGGTACGTAGTGCAGTACAAGGCTTACGGTTCGGTCAGTTTCGGTATGTGAGATATGATCATAATGCAGAAGACTGACAACAAAAGCCAAACCTTACATTGTTTAATAACATGGAAAAAAATAGCAGTAATCTTTACAGGGCTCGATTTAGTTCTTTGCAACTTGCACTGGTGCATCCCAGTATTACAAAATGCAACCTAGTTATTAGTCTAACTTGCACCAGGTGCAGGTCAGTTTTAGAGAAATAAATCAACAATAAATCTAACATTGTGAGCAAAATTATGTCAGCTCATTTTTCATCTAAACTTTGAATAGCTATGGCACCGAAACATTGCTATTTATAGACACCGCTCGGCTGTGACAGCTCTTGTAAACAGGGATCAGCTGTGTGGCGGCGTTGCTATGGTTTCAAGGGTACTTCACACGAAATATGTTTATGTGCACTGATACCTCTGACGTATTAACACACTCGTCATCATTTTAAGTGATAGTTGACAGATTTATCGCACATGGCTGTGTGAAACACTAAGCCTCCTGTCAACTTTATTTATCCAAACCGTGAATGAATATAACCATGACGGATAGCAAAAGTAAACAGACAAGCATTAAAGCATTTTTCCTGAAGAAATCAAGTGAAGATGCTGACAAAAGTGGTAAACAAAACTTGGAAACTGAGAAACGTGCCGATACTAACATGAGTGATTCCATTAACATTGCCGATGCCTGTGGCAGTTCGGGGTCGGGTGTTCAATCTACAGATGATGGATTGAAACGTAAATTAGAGACATGTGCCACATGTCAAAAGTATGATAAAAGTGGAAGAAGTAATTCTTTTAGGAGTGGGTGCAAGTCTATAAGACTAAGTGTGATAGAAATCCACCAAACTAGTGATGTTCACATCCGATCTGAGGCCCATGAACTAGCACAACTGTGCAAAAATAAGGAAAAGACAGTTCTTAAAATGCAGGAAAATCAAGTTGACACCATGAAGATTTTATTCATAGTAGCATACTGGATAGCTAAAAATGAAAAACCATTTACAGATTTCTCCAAAATGCTTGAACTTTTAGAAATACTTGGAATTAAATCAGGCCAGACATATGCAAATGACAAGAAAGCAAGAGAATTTATTGGCCTAATCAGTGAATCTTTTCGTCAGGAAATTGTAGGAGAACTTCGGACAGCTGAATATTTTTCAGTATTATGTGATGGGTCACCAGACTGCAGTGTTTTGAAACAAGAAATCATGTATGTGAGATACATTAAATTTGGACAACCCAAAACTGTGTTTGTGTGTGCATCAAATGTGGAAAGAGGTGATGCTCTTCACATCAAGGAGGCAATCTTGAAAATGTTAGATGAGAAACTTGATTTATCAGAGGATGAATGGAAAAGTGGTCTAGTTGGTTTGTGTTTTGATGGGGCAGCTGTGATGATGGGGTGTAAGTCAGGTGTGGCAAAGAGAATACAAACATTAGCCCCTCATGTGATTGCAATCCACTGCTGTGCCCACCGACTGGAACTTGCAGTTAAAGATGTCACAAAGCAAATATCCTATTTGGAAGACTTTGACGAAACTCTTGTGAACTTGTACAAGTTCTACAAGTATTCGCCACTGAGGTGGCAAGGACTAAAAGCAGCTGCTGAGGCACTGAATGTAAACCTTCTCAGGCCAGTTAGAATACTTGGTGTGAGATGGCTCCCTCATCACGAAGTGCAAGCTGTGAAGGCTGTCTCTCAGTCGTATGAAGCACTGGCTGTTCATCTTCAGAATGAAGCAAGAACTGGCAATAAAGACAATCAAGAAAAATCAAGATGCATACTTCGCTTGCTCCAGTCTCTGAAGTTTGTCATGATTCTTAATTTTCTCACCAGTTTTCTGGGAGTGATGTCAAAACTGAGCAAATCTTTTCAATGTGACAAATCTGGCTTGCACTCTGTACATGAGAATGTAGAAAAGGCAGTTGGACATATTGAAAAGCTGACAGACAGAGAGAGACTTACTGAAGTCATGATGAAAGGAATTGAAGTGGCTGAAGGTGACAACCCAGAGTACAGGTTTCATGGGATGACACTTAGTGTACCTGAAAGGGGACTACCAAAGAAAAGAGGAAAGCAACCTGTGAAAAAATCTGAAAAAGAAGATGCGATTGAATCGGCAGAAATGATCATACAGAAAATGAAGTCAAATTTGGCATCAAGATATGATGTGACAGATGATGTGTGTGGAGCATCCTACGTGCTCAACCCCAACAACTGGCCCAAGGATCCAGCTGCACTCAACTCTTATGGTGACACAGAGATCCAGCTGTTGGCTCAGCACTTTGACAGGCCCTTGACTGCTAAAGGGTATGTTCCCGAAGCAGCAGCAGTGGAATGGCTTACTGTGAAGAAACAGATTGTGAGGATGCTCAGTTTTGAAGAAAATCTTCACTTTGTACAGGTATGGGAAAGGGTTTTGACAACTAATGATCTGAAAGGTGAAAACAAGGACATCTTAGCCCTGGTTCGAATAATCCTTTCACTGCCAGTGAACTCGGCAATATGTGAAAGAGGGTTTTCCCTCATGAAGAGAGTGAAATCTGACTGGCGAGGTTCATTGAGGAGTGACACTCTGACAGATCTGCTTTCTGTATCAGTGAATGGTCCAGCCACACATGATTTCAACCCAGATGCTGCCATTGCACTATGGCTCACGATGAAGAACAGGAGGATTGCTGCAGCTGGAAAGAGAACACAGACAGAGCAGGCATGGAGCAGTGATGAATCTGAGTAACGACAAGTGGGTAAACTTCGGAATAAAACATCTAAATGATTCAATAGCATATTTATTTCATTACATGTTGCAATAAAAGCAGTGCAACTGGAATTTGGCTGGTGCAACTAGGTTTTTATCTTAGGGTGCACCTGGTGCAAGTAGGTTAACATCTCTTAAATCGAGCCCTGTCTTTTTTGAATGAACAAAACTGTCAAAATTTTTAAACTTATCCTATCTCACGACTTGCACCTCTCTCTCTTGCTTCGACTTTTAGTGGAACGACTGTAAACTTTTTTCCATAGGCCTCCTTGTCCATTTGCCCGTGCACTCCATGCTGCTCTCCTTAATTAGCTTCCTAGTCCCTAATAAAGCTTGCAGCATGCTCCACTAATTGCCCACGTGACTACCTTGTATGATCATTCTCTTTCTTGTCGCACGACTGTGTGGACGTGCTGTATATTAGGGATATCACCCTAACATCATGGGGAAAACTGATAATCAGTCAAGGAAAAGGAAAGTTTGTGCTCAATGCAAGACTAATTATTCGTCCCTCGACCCTCACTCGTCTTGCAGTGACTGTATTGGACATGTAACTGGAACAAACGATGTGGCAAGTGTAATTCACTAAAAGATGAGGATTTTAAGGCCTACCTTCGTGTTTGCTCCCGGAGAATCGCTGATAGGGACAGGAATTCAACAGAATTTGATCACACTGCCAAGCTTATCAAGTTACAGCGACAGAAAATCGTACTTTCACGCAAGAGAGCGACGTCTGTGGTTCAAGAGGATTTTATGGGCGCTTCATCAGATTCTTACTTATCTGAGGACGTTCGGCACCTATTACGTACGCATAGCATCAGATCACTCGCGGGTGGTTGTGATCGACAATTCTTCGTTGCCTGTCCCATCTACACTACGAGGGGACCTTAGATTGACGCTATCATCATCCAGATCATCGGTACTTATCCCCTCGACTGTCTCAGTTTGTTTGGAGCCTGGCCAACCGCGTTCAACCAGCCAACTGTCTCCCCACAGTTCATTGAACCAGACGGAGCTGGCTACAACAGCGTCGCCGGGGGACGTTCATCATGAATCAGCACTTCAGGTTTCGTCACCTAATCGCCGATCCAGATCGCCACATCATTCTAGATCACCACAACGATCTAGATCACCTTCACGATCCAGATCACTTTCACAAGCCCGATCTAGATCACCGTGCCGATCCAGATCACCGGATCGATCCAGATCACAGTCACGATCCAGAGCACAACTACGATCCACATCACCTGATCAATCCAGATCACAAAACGGGTCCAGATCACAACTTCGAATCAGATCACCGGACAGATCCAGATCACCTAGCCGATCCAGATCACCGAACCGATCCAGATCACAACATCGAAGTAGATTATCGGGCTGATCCAGATCACTTACTCGATCCAGATCACAACTTCGAATCAGATCACCGGACCGATCCAGATCACCGAACCGATCCAGATCACAACATCAAAGTAGATCACCTAACCAATCCAGATCACCAAATCAAGCCAGATTGCAACTGCAAACCAGATCAACTGTTCGATCCAGATCACCTTATAGATCCAGATCATCTTACCAACCCAGGTCACCTATACGATCTAGATCACCTTACAGTGCCACTGACCAATCGTGATATCAATCCACATCTCATGGTCGATCCTATTCAGATGGTCGAACCAGAGCTCCAATCAGAACCAGATCACCAACTAGAACTACAGTGACCCGGACTAGTTCTTCATATCATACCGGATCACCTAGCCATACTAGGGAATCCAGATCACCGGCTTACCAACCTACCTCGGTATTTACCACATCAAGATCTCAATACAGTTCCTCTGACCGACGTTCAGGTGATCATTGCTCTAATACCACTAATAGGCCTACAGTCTCTTACGATGTTCCGTCTACATGCTCTGAGAATCCCTCGACTCACTCTAGGATCATCGCTGAGTCATGGGAACCTGATAACAATTCCACTCCTACAGCGACTCCGGATCTAAATATGATGATCAGGGCCATAACCTCAGCCTGAAACTAAATACAG